AAAAAAAGAATAGGCATGACAATGGTGACAATGACTGCCTTTGGTGTCATTGAAAGTGGTGGGTGAGGGGGGTGTTAAAGATTTACCTTTTACCATAATTTTTTGAGGTTTTTTAAAAAAAAATTTTAGGGAAGAATCTACAGTTTGTTCAGTGTCTCACTACTAGATCAGACTTTAAGTGATCTGCCTGTTTACAGCCTCCCAAGAGCTGGGATTACAGGCACACATTAGCACGCCCAGTCTCAATTGCTGTCTCAGTGCACCCTGGGGGGCAGGGCCGGCATGGCAGGCCCAGGGATCAAACCCCCTGCCCCTGCACCTGCTTGCAGGCACTTTAATCTGCTGAGCTATTTGGCCAGCCCATTTTTTTTTTTTTTTGAATTTTAAAAAGGATGTACATGTGGAACACACACTTTAAAATATTGATGTGACATTTTGTGGTCATAGTTGATGTAGCCTAGAATTACTTCCTACGATCAGCTTGTAGCTGTACCTCTCCACCCCTGCAGGTAACAGCTCTCCACTACTCCTTCAGCCCACATCACTGCCACACAGAAAATAAAGGCATACTGACTTTGTGCTGAGACCGATCCCAACTAATGCCTGAGCAGGGTGTGGCTGTCAATGTAGGCCTAGACAAGAACTGGAACATTTTAAAAGGAAACTTCAAACCCCCCTCACTTGGCCAGAATATACTAGGCTAGTGGCAGCAAACCTAGGGCACATGCTGTGGGCCACACAGTCTCATCCGTCCACATACCAGCCGTGTTCTCCCAGCATTATCCCAGCAGCAGAATAGCAGATAACAAACAGCAAGTACAGGGGCCAGTCACACACTTGGAAGGAAGTAGCAGCACCAGGCAATGATGTCACCAAAGCAACCTGTTAGAGGTGACTCCCCTGGCGTTAGCATGGCCAGGCAATATTCAGGTTTAACCACAGTGTTGGCACTTCGTGATAAATAAGTGGGTCTAGGTTGCAGTTTGAGCACTCACTCTCTAGGAGGCTCACCATCACTGTTCTAGGCATCGTGCTGTGACTCTTTCTGTGGCACTCTTTCCTTCCACTCTCCATCAGAGAGCCCAGACTGCACTCAATCTATAGGCCACCCCTACTGCCTTCAGCCTCCCCTGTTCTTCACAGCTGTTGGCCCAATACACGCCTCCCCTTGCACATCTAGTCCATCCTGATGTATTCTTCTCCAAGGACCTGAACTAACAAACTGTACAGTGCATTGGTTTGGAGCACATGTCCTGCTTTGAATCCCAGCTCTGCCTGAGCTGTGCAGGTCACAAATCCCTCTGAGACTTGACTGCTGTGGAAAACATAGATAGACAATTTTCACTGCACAGAATTGTTATTCAGAAGGGATGATCCTTCAGAAGCAATGGGCAGTGACTCAGAAGGTGATGAACACCCCCACCTGCCCAACCTCATCTCCTCCACCTGCCAAGAAATAGCTCCGTGGTTTCTGCCTTTCCTTTGGTGAAGAGGCACACTGGACTCACCCTGGTTCCAGGCCCAGATAGGCCACTCCACCAACAGGGTCTCCATAGGTAGTTTTTCTTTTCGACTATTTCCTTTATTTGTGAATTCAGGAAGTTGAACACCTTTCCTTGGAGGTGATAGTTTAGTTTTAGCCCCAAGATTTCGTGAAAGGTGGCACGCTCCAGAAGCAAACTCCATCTTCTATGCTATGCAATGTCACATCTCCTTAGCACTGCTCTCAGCTGGGCCCTGGGGATTCAGAAGTCCCCCAGACCAAGGTTGCTCAGTCTTCTCAGGAAGACAAACATGTCCACAGAAACTCCCAGTACAATGCAGGCTCTGAAACCACCTGGAGATGAAAGACTTCCGCCTCGTTCGTTACAGGCATTTCATAACGGGAAATGGGAGAGTGCAGGGAATAGTTTCCCGGTCATGTTTGCCTCAAAGAGGAAGAACAGCGTGTTTCAATGTTCCCTGGCTGGGAAAAAATAAAATAAAATGAAAGTGTTTATTTTCATTGAGAAGAAGAAACTGAAAACTCTGGAGGCTAAGCAAATAGACAGTTTATTTTTCTTTTATAGGCTATGAGGCCAGTTAATGATTAGTGAGTTCCCAGGGGCAGTTTGTTGACAGGCTGGAGTGTGTGATCTCTCTGGCTGTAGAGGTCTGCTACACAACCACCCTCAGACCTCCGGCTCAGCGATGCCCTGGAGCCTCTGCGAGAGAAGCTTCTGGCTGTGGGGGGCCCTTCTGTGGCTCGGCACCCGAACTGCAGGTAGGCAGTGGGCTCAGGCTGGGGGTGGAGCTTGTTTCAGTTAGTGACTCTGTTTCTTCAGCTGTCTATGTGTGCAATCCTAACCGCTGGAAGGTCCCCTAAAAGTCCTTGCGTCTCCCAAGGTGAATTTAAAGGAGCGGGGAGAAAGCCCCCATTGCCATAATGGGAACCATGGTAAACAGGACGCCTTCTTAGGTCACAGAAATTGAACTTCCCCTGGTTGTCTGACTCATTTTCCTAAAACCCACATTTCAGCCCTTTTCGTCTTGCACATGCTAGCATGGGATGACTAGAAGAAAAAAAAATTTTGATTAATTCTATTTTTTTTTCCTGATAAATATCCATTGTTCCAAGACATATTGAAGTTTAACATTTAAAATTTCCAGACCAGTAACAATTTTGTCCTAGAGATTGTTAGATGTTTTTTCTCATGTTGCCAACCCAGCTCAAGTTCGGATCTGTCATGCCCTTTGGCTGGACTATGAAACTAGTCTCTGCTAGCCACAGATGCCCAATATGACAACTTCCCTCTGATCCCATTTGCATTTGAATTGTATTTTTCCCCCCCGTAAAGAACCTGCCTGTGATAACTACTTGCATAGTACAGCAAACTAACACACACACACACACACACACACACACACACACACACACACACTCACACACGCACCCCTAGCCACCCACCCTCCTCAGCCCACCAGGAGCAGCAGTAGCCCCAGGAAATCCTCCTCTCTCTGCTCCCACAGCAGGCTGCTTCTCTCTTCTTTATAGAGCTTCTTATCCCTCAGCTTTGGAACACAACAGTCCCTCTGCTTGGAGTTGGTTATTTCTGTTCTTGGCATCTTCCAGGAGAGCTTATCATCTCCCTTGCGACTATCATTCTGCTATCCAGCACTCCTCCCTTGCTCTAGAATCCAGTTCCCTGAGTAGTTCTCTCCCTGTAGTTGCAAGGAGAGTATTTGAGGCTCTTGCTTCTTTTAGCATGCATGGCTGGTTCATGAATGCTGCTGCCTTGGAGGCAAGGCCCTGAGCAGAGAGGACACAGGCTGTGGCTCAGGGTACCTTGACTTGCATTCTGGCTGTTTCTTAGAAGCTGCAGGACTCTTTGCCTCTGTGTGAGAGAGAGAGCTCCAGGGTGAAAGGGTTTTCCTTTACCTGCAGTGGTAGACTATCCCAAGGAGATGGGATACTGTAAGGGCTAAACAAGGGTGCACAGGGTCTAACTTTTTGCAACTGTTCTCTCTTGACTTTATTAGTGAAGGACTGGACCATTGGGCCTATGGAAGAATAGGGACACACTTGTCATGAGCTACTTGGGAGAAAAGTTGAGAGGTGTCCCTGAAGGTTCCTAAGAGAGCTGTGAGTGCCATTCAGAGGGGTGGGCTTGGCAGGCCGCTTTGTCCCTGCTGAGTAACTCGGTGCCTGCAGGGGCTAGCAGGCATTTTCTAGGTGTCCTGATTTGATATTTGAGGGTGGAGCCTGGTGAGGTGTTACAGGCTTATAATCCTAGATCTTTGGGATGCTCAGAATCACAAGTTCAAACCCAGGCTTCGGGATTCAATTTAGTGACTTAACAATTGCCTGTGTCCAGATAAAAAGAGCTGGGGATATAGTTCAGTGCAAAGGCTCTGGAGTCAATCTCTAGTACTGAAAACAAGGTGGTGGTGGCAGGGAGAAAGGACTGCTGGCTCATGGCACCCAAACTCTTGAAACTGCACTTCTCAGCAAGCCTGGGCTTTGGCATAGACAGGAAGAGCTCAGAAATTCTGAGCTGCCAGTGCTGACTTCAGGGAAAAAATGGAGCCAGTTCCAATGCCCCATATGGGGGTATTCTAGATGCCCTGGGCAAGTGGGTAATAACTTATTTGTTGGTTCATGATAGGGTTCCCTTGCCTTTGTCTGCTGTGGTCCTTCTCTTCCCACCCACCTTGTGAACTGTTCTCAGTTTTCCACCCCATCTTCCTTCTTACTGGAGCCCAGTGTATTGTCGACAGTGCCAGTGTTTATTGAGTTCATGTTTTCTGCTCTTCTGAAAGTGTTACCTTAGAATTGAATGAGTTGGAGAAGAGGCAGAGATAGAGAGTTGGTGAAATGCACTGGGGAGGGACTTTGGTGTCAAGATGTTATTGCGTTAGGGAGCCCACAGGAAGTAAGTGGGAAGACAGAGACATTGAAGTAAAGGAAAGGAAGGGAACGACATGGAGCTGAAGGAGGCGCTGAGTGTCTGACCAGGAGGATCCCTGGGCAGCTGCTGCTAGGAAGGTGACCTCTGCTCCTTTTTCTTGTCAACCCAAGTTACAGATAGTATTTTGCTCAGATGGTGGAGGTCAAAACAGTTGAAACTGTTCCTTAATCAAATTGGCATAGTCAAGAGACCACTACTGCATGGAAGACAAACTCCTGGACCCTGAAACTGTTGTTCATTATAAGCATGTTTTGTATTTTCATCTGAGGCAGTCACTGACTTAAAAGCAGCTTTTGATAAGACCCATGACTCTTCACTTGGGCCTACAAATACCCCATGGGCAGCTTGAAACCTTGGATATAGGTACCTTACTCATTTAGGAAAGGTCAATAGAAAAAAGCAAATTAGCCCCCGATTAACCTAACTTGTCTCATCCTCCTTTTAAGACAAAGAACATCAAGCCTTTTTTTTTTTTTTTTTTGCGGAACAGGGGATTGAACTCAGGCCCTTGCGCTTGCCAGGGAAGCACTTATTTCACTGAGCCATCTTCCCAGCCCGAACATCAAGATAAGAATAATTAAAGTAGTTTTTAAGATGTACAGGGACACCTGACTACCAGTTTTATAATATCCAGTTCCAGAGGTTTTCCCCTACCTCCTCGGCTTAATGATACCTAGAACTCTCCATCCATTGTCCTAAACCAACAGTTTCCTAACGCTGGGGACTTTAAGAAAAACACAACTTCACATGGCTGAAACCACCCAAAGACAGTCCTTTCTTGTGAATGGAGTTGGCCCTCTTGCCACGAGGATTTCACCAGAGCTATAAAACCAGACTGAGACTGGCCAGACCAAGGACTGGCCAGACTCCAGCCCTTTACAGTACTCCACAAAACTCCTTCCATGTTTAGTGGCCAGTCTGATCTTCTTTAGAGTATGCCTGCTCCAGCTACTCAGGCTGAAGTGTCATCCAATTAAGGATTTTCCCCCCTTTTCAGTTTCCATTTCTACTCAAGCAAGCTGGGGACAAAACTGTCCCTCGTGCCTCTGGGTCCACTTTCTCTCCTAAAGATAGTTCTGAAGTCTCCCGCCTCCTGAATAGAGGCCTTTCTAGGCATTCTTTTAGCACTTGGGCTTCCTGGCCACAGGTCTCCTTCCCCTCTTCCTATGGGGATTCCTGGGTACTTGTACTTCTCCCTGTAGACCATGGGCACCTGCAGTCAGCTATGGATGGCATCTTACTTATCCTGGAGTTGCCAGAGCCTTGCTTGGGACATGGTACAGAGGAGCCATTTTATAAACCAAAAGCCTCAGTTGCTTAAGAGGAAAAAACTGAGTGGGTTGTGGGCCTTGTTTCCATTTCCTGACATTTGCTGTGCACCAGCTAATTGAGCCTTACCCTGATACAAGGAGTGAGTTGTCCACCAAACAAGGAGTGAGTTGGCCCATTTCAGTCACACTGCTGGCAAACCTACCCAGCAGGCCTGGAACAACATGGCTCAGTGTGCTGAGGAACCTGGGCCTCAGAGGGATGGCAGGAAGTCTGGGCCCCATGGCCCAGGGCTGGGGACCACCGAACCTGAGTAGGAGTAGCCCAGCCTGGGCCTGCGATTGGGGCCTCTCAAAAGCCAGCCTGTTTCCCCTGCATATCTGAAAACAGTCACTCCCAATCAGCTGCAGCAGGGCGCCGTCCTTCCACCCACCTTGCAGTGCCCACTGAGCAGCATGGCGGTGGGGGAGGGGGCCCTATAGCCAGTATACTGTTGTGCAGATCCTCTAATTTCTCCATGTTTGACAACAAAGTTGTGGTTTTGAGCCCACTCTGTATTTTATTCCCCTCCTGGTCTGGGCCATAGAATCAGAATGTCTTAGACAAAAAGAAACTTTCAGGAAATAAAATCATGTGCAAGGTACCAGCCCACAGAACTCGTCTAGTCTAGGACTTAGAGATACTGTTTCTGACATCTACAGATAGATCGTAGAGCCAGCCTGTAGCCCAGGGGACTAAAAGTGTGCTTGTGCCCTAAGAGGGGGCACTGCCTGGATGTTAATAACTTTGACTCAGCACTCACAACTAAGGACTGAAAATGATGGACTGTTTATAGACTTGAGCCAGCTGGTGCTTAATTCTGTGCTCCTCCTTTCTATTGTTTATGGCTTATTGCTTATGGCTGGGCATGTCTCAGAAATAAAATGAACCCAAATTAAAATTGCAATTTTTGAGATTCAAACTTTTTTCAGAAAGGTACAAGTAATATATGGGAATATATGCAAATAGCAGAGCTCACATAGTTGTAAAGATATAATATGAGAAACTGAGGAGGATTTAAGAAGATGGAAACATACCACCTGCTCCTGGACGGGCAGAACTAGTATTATTCAGACGGCCACATTACCCAAACTAAGATATAGATTTAATACATTCCAATCAAAATGCCGACAACATTCCTCCCAGAACTAGAAAAAAATTCCTAAAATTTTTATGGAGACAGAAGAAACACAGAATAGCAAAAGCAATCCTGGGCAACAGGATCAAAGGGGGCATCACTATCCTGGATTTTGAAGTGACTTTAAACCAAGGTGACAAAAACAACATGGTACTGAAACAAAGACCTGTGGATCAGTGGATCAGAGTGGAGGATTCAGAAACAACCCCAGGCACATCCAGCTATTTGGTGCATTTAATAGAGAGCCCCAAAACACGGAAAAACAGCCTTCTAAACAAGTACTGCTGGAAAAACCGGTTATCCACATGCAGAAGATTGAAATAGACCCATGTACTAAAAAAAGGTAAGAACAGAACCCCAAGCATCAAC